GCCCGTCCTCAATTCCCCCCAAATCCCGGAGCCCCCTCCCCAATTCCGGTTCCGCTCTCCCCTCTCCAATTCCCCCCCCAGTTCCCGGTTCCCCCTCCCCAATTCCGGTTCCCCTCCCCCATTCCCCCCCAGTTCCCGGTTCCCCTCCCCATTTCCCGCTGCCCCCCCGGTTCCCGGAGCCCCTTCCCCATTTCCCGCTGCCCCCCCGGTTCCCGGAGCCCCTTCCCCATTTCCCGCTGCCCCCCCGGTTCCCGGTTCCCGGTTCCCGGAGCCCCCTCCCCATTTCCCGCTGCCCCCCCGGTTCCCGGGTCCCGGTTCCGCCGCCCCCTCCCCAATTCCCGCCGCGCTCACCGAGCCCCCCGAGCAGCAGCAGCAGGAGGAGCGGGGCCCGTGCCCGCCGTGCCCGGGGCTGTCCCGGTTCCGGTTCCCGTTCCCGGTCCCGGTCCCGGTCCCGGTCCCGGTCCCGGTCCCGCTCCGCTCCCGCCATGGCGCCGCCGCCCCCGCCAGGTGCGCGCGCCCCGCCCCGCCCCGCCAAGCCCCGCCCCCGGCCCCGCCCCGCCAGGTACGGCCGGGCCACGCCCCCTCGCGCCGCCATTGGCTGCCGCGCTCGGCGGCTCGGAAGCGGCGCTCGCTGATTGGTCGGGCAGGTGCGCCCCCCCCTCCCTTTGATTGGTTAAAGCAAAGGGCGTGGAGAGAGGCGGCCAATGGGAGAGCGCGCCGCAACTTCTGGCCAATGGGAGCGCGCAGGGGGGGCGGGGCTTGGCGTTGCCGCGGCGACCGCGCGGGTTCGACCGGCAGGGGGCGCTGCGGGCGCGAGAGTCTCCCAGTACAAACCAGTACAGACCAGTGACCTCCCAGTGACCCCCAGTGACCTCCCAGTGACCCCCAGTGACCTCCCAGTATAAACCAGTGACCTCCCAGTACAGACCAGTGACCTCCCAGTGACCCCCAGTGACCTCCCAGTATAAACCAGTGACCTCCCAGTACAGACCAGTACAAACCAGTACAGGCCAGTGACCTCCCAGTGACCCCCAGTGACCTCCCAGTGCAGACCAGTACAGACCAGTGACCTCCCAGTATAAACCAGTGACCTCCCAGTGACCCCCAGTGACCTCCCAGTGACCTCCCAGTACAGACCAGTACAAACCAGTACAGACCAGTGACCTCCCAGTATAAACCAGTGACCCCCAGTGAGCTCCCAGTACAGACCAGTGACCCCCAGTGACCCCCAGTGACCTCCCAGTACAGACCAGTACAGGCCAGTCCCCTCCCAGTGGGGTCCCTTTGGAGGTTTTGGGGGAATTTTGGGGCCCTTTTGGGAGTTTTTTGGGAATTTTGGGTCCCTTTGGGAATTTTGGGGTCCCTTTGGGGTTTTTGGGGTCCCTTTGGTGGTTTTCGGATCCCTTTGGGGTTTTGGGGGAATTTTGGGGTCCCTTTGAGGGTTTGGGGTCCTTTTTGGGTTTTTTTGGGAATTTTGGGGTCCCTTTGGGGATTTTGGGGTCCCTTTTGGGTTTTTTTGGGAATTTTGGGGTCCCTCTGGGGGTTTTGGGGTCCCTCTGGGGGTTTTGGGGTCCCTTTGGGAATTTTGGGGTCCCTCTGGGGGTTTTGGGGTCCCTCTGGGGGTTTTGGGGTCCCTTTGGGAATTTTGGGGTCCCTTTGGGGATTTTGGGGTCCCTTTTGGGTTTTTTTGGGAATTTTGGGGTCCCTTTGGGGATTTTGGGGTCCCTTTT